ATATTTTTTGGGATGTTGCTTTGACCAGGGCTTGAACCCAGGTGCTGATGTGTGAAAGCGCGCACTGCTTACCACTACACCACAGCGGCCGACCACACCACAGCGTCCTTCCTTAGGTGGGTGTAAACTACCTTCTAACAAAGAAGTTATGAAGGTACTATTTTTTAATTTACGCGCAGTAAAATTAAATTTACGTGAGAGTGCTAAATTAGTGGTCGAAGAAGTGAATATTTTTTGGGATAAAGCTCGAATCCCCACTAGAAAAAAGCAACACTGCATAACAATGCTTGAAGATTTATATAATGCATGGAGGAAAGTGAATAAAAATTCTAAAATTAAATCGGAAACGCAAAGAGAAAGAGAAGAGGCGTGGACGTCGAAGTTAGATGACTTATTTGATATAGCAAGTGCAAATGCACTGGACCTTATTAAAAATTCAGAGGACAAATTATTTTTGGAGAATCAAAGAAAAAAAGGCAGACCGGGGTTTATGTATGGCATCGATTACAAAACAGCAGCAAGTGAAGAAAGAATGGAAGAACGTCAACAAAATCATTTAAAACGGAAAGAACAGAGCGATCGTGCATTAGCTGCTTCTAGTAAGAAGAAATTATATATATTATTTTTAATATAGTATTACATATATNGGCTCAGTTCATTTCTTCTGAGACAAACAATTTTTTTCTTCGCTTTAATATCAATACAGCATTTTTGGAAAATGATCCAACTTCATGGCCTGCGGATAATAATTTTAAAACTGCTCTTCAAATTGTTAATGACATTAACGTGGTGAACGATACAGCTGAACGAGCGGTGAAATTAATGCAAGACTACAACCCAATTCTCACAAAAGACGAGGAACAAAAACAATATATATTGCAAGTAGTCAAAAACTATCAAAAACAATATCCTATAAGCACGAAGGAGATTTTATCACAAAACTTTTTATAATTACACCATTTAATAAAACAAATAATCACCAGGCAAAAAATGCGAATATATGTGAAAATTTCGCTGTTATTTTTTAATTTGTTTTTTTTTCTGGATTAAATTTTAATGTTAAAGAAAACTAATACAGAGCAACATTGTTCATCAGATATAGCCCCAGAATATTTGTGAATAAGATTTTTCTCTAAAATAAAAATTACTGAAGTTATGAACAAATAAAGCGAGCCATAGTGAGAAAAATAGAATTTTTAGCAAACTTTGTGGGCTCAAGGCACGCCCAATAACTATGCAAACGACCTAAAAATTTGTATACANTTTTAGCCGTTTTTAGCCGTTTTTTTTTTGCCAATCTAGCCGGTCGGCCCAAAAAGTTCTGGCAACACTGGTTGTACTGCGCTGCAGATGTTAGAGAAAATCTCCACACAACTCTTATTCACAGCGTTAGGTATGCCGTTGATGATAAAGTCAGTAGCAACGGCCTCGTTTTCATACCGAGCCGACTCTCTTTTCAGCGCTAGCACTTCGGCTTTGAGAGAAGCAATCGCCTCACACGTCGATTCAACAGCAGTCNTGAAAATATGAAAAAAAAATTGTCCATATAACTTGCGGTCACACTAATGTGGATGCTTGATGTACCTTCCACAGCAATGCCATTTAATGCAAGAGCTCTTTTTTTTCTTTGCAGTAATCAGCTACTGATTTGAAGAGTCTAGTGCGCGCATAAGAGGACTGCAGCTTAACAACAATGGGCCTGAGCACATTAGCCTGCTCNTTTTCTTCTTCTTCCATTCTTGCTCACGTTTTGGCATTTCTCTCTCGCAATTGCACCAGTATGACGTCACTCAAAAGTTATTCTCCAAAATCCTCTCTGATCGGCGCAATCTTGTATTCTATCATTCTTGAGTCAGCCTCATNGCAGTCGGCCGAGGTTTCAGTTTTGTATACATGAACTACGCATGATTGTGTTAGTGCATGTGGCACATGCACACAAAACGAAATAGAAAACATGTTGTCNTCCGCTGAAATCTCATTAAATCTCTGCATCAGTCTCTCTTCAGTGCTCTTTATACTCCCACTCCAGCTGTTCTATCCAGTGTTGCCACTTGAGTTTAGTTTTAGGTACCAAAATGTCTACCAAATCAATTTCCAAACTACCAAATTTTTTTTCACCATTAAAACGAAATTTCTTGAATTTACGGGGTTTTTAGCTAAACACATTTAGAGTATAACNGCATGCATAAGTCGCTTTAATTCATTTCGCCGCGATTCAAAACATATGTATAAACTGAACTTCAATTCGCTTTGAAAGAGCGAAGTGTTTTGACTCGNAATCTCTGCATCAGTCTCTCTTCAGTGCTCTTTATACTCCCACTCCAGCTGTTCTATCCAGTGTTGCCACTTGAGTTTAGTTTTAGGTACCAAAATGTCTACCAAATCAATTTCCAAACTACCAAATTTTTTTTCACCATTAAAACGAAATTTCTTGAATTTACGGGGTTTTTAGCTAAACACATTTAGAGTATAACATTGTTTACGGTGTTGGTTAACCATTCATACCAATATTTAATGCTAAACAAAACAAATTCGGGCTTTAAATAAAATNATTTTGTTTGCTTTTGGAGACGGTTACTTTGATGCCGATATAAAGCCATACATATAAACACTGGAGCGAAATGTGTACGGTGTCAATGCGCTTTCGATTGAGTCGATTATTCTGTGCGTATAAACGTAGTATATGTGTGCGTGTCAGTCCACCGTCAATCCGCGATTTTCGCGGACTGAAATGAACGAGGTAAACTCGAACTCTCTTTCCCCTCTTATCCACACAAAACCGGTTTTAGGCGGACTGAGCAGTCCAGAGTGCGGAGGCCCAATAGGTGAAGATGCGTCGTCGCTGTTTTGTTTCGTAGCAGGCGCTCGAAATATTTCTCTTACTGCTGGCATCTNGTAAAAAACTTTTGTAATAAATGTATGTAAAAATACCTTTGAGATTAATTCAATTCAAATCAAAAAATTTATGTTTGAAAAAACAAAATCTGAGATTTTATGAATTTCAATAAAAAAATTCAAAATTTTGTTTCAATTTGCATACACTCACACTTTGCAAATTGCCTATCACCAATTATTCTTTCAAGACGATAGGCAAATTTATGTTCAATTTCAAAACTGATCGATCATAGCTTTGGGAAGCCCGTTTTTGTTTGCAGAAAATTGTGTGCTTCGTAAAATTTGGAAAAAACAAAGAAAACTTATACGTGTGAGCAAGTGAAAGCAATGTTTTCAACGTTTAAACGCAAAGTGAACAAATTTTAATACTCATTTTGATTGACTTTTCAAAACATTTTTGCCTACCAAAAGCTTCATCAAACCAACCAAACTACCAAAGGAGAATGAAGCTACCAATTTTGGTCGATTGGACCAAAACGGCAACGCTGGTTCTATCATGCCCTGCTTTTGTTTCTTCAGTTTCGCCTCCAGCTGTTGTAGCCAATGTGCAGTTTGCAAACTCTCACCATCTCGGCATTTACCATGAAGGTCGGTGTTACTCTTCGGCGGGGACAACTTTGCACTTCTTGTTACTTTCTTTTCGACCGACATAAAGCAAATAGAATTATTTCAATTTCGAATTATTTCAATTTCAGCGCGAAAAACAACGTTTGTTTAAATACAGAAAATCAGCGGCAGTTTAACACACAGGCCTTAGCTTGACAAGTATTAAAATCAAGTATTAATTAAAGAAAAGTTGACAAAACCGGCAGCACAATGTTTACACGTCTACTCAGTCATAGCGCTCGCAATACACATTAAAAGAAATACAGAACATTTAGCGTCCTGTATAAATAAATTAATTACCAGGACAATGGGTCAAAAAAAGAGGACTGTCCCATATAATACAGGACGGATGGTCACCGTAACTATGGGTGACAATACAAAAATATTAATTTTTAAATTTGACTTTGAAAAACAATAAAGAGTGGTTTAAAAAATATTTATAGCAAAATATCTTCAAGATCTACCGCAACTTTTTTCCGCTTTTTTTTACATTGTGTCGAAGTGATGTGGGGAGTGAAAGATATTAACAACATTTTCATTAAATCAGCATTTTGGTCAAACATACATATACTCGAAGATATTAATCCGCACTATTTTATGATTCACTTCTCACAGATTGCTGTGTAATTTTTTTTAAAGCAAAGTTAACCCATTTTTTTTTGTTTAAAATAATATTATATATGCAGTTAGGATGTGATAACCACGAGTTCTATTATCACTCTGTTTATTATTTCTCCAGTAAATACAAAGCAAATTCAAGAAAATATTACAACTACATAAGAAGAATAGAATAGAATGGAATAGAGAATATGAAATTGAAATGAGTGAACAGAGGTGCATTTATGCGTACTAATGTAATTACTTTAAGCAAAGAAATAATTTCTAGTGGAAGTGCTACCCATTACTCCCTTCCTAGATTCGGCTCACGGCAGCGGTAAAAGCAGGCTTAAGGCGATTGACAGGAACTTTAACTTCTTTGTCGTTGACTATGACTACGAAATATTTAAGTTTGCGTTGAAACACTCTGAATGGTCCTTTATACGGAGGGGACAATGAAGGCCGAACAGAATCGTCTCTGATGAAAACATGGTAGCACGATTTTAAGATGGAATGAATAAACAGCTTTTCTTGAGTATGCCAGGCAGTGTCTACCGGACGTAGTTGTCTCATCATTGCACGGAGTTGACGCAAGTCTTCAATTTCAGTCTTCGCTGTTGACACATCGATGAAGAATTCTGCTGGTAAGCGAAGATTTTCGCCGTAGACTAGCTTAGCTGGAGTTGCGCCTATGTCTTCTTTAAAGGCGGAACGTAAACCCAGTAAAATCAGCGGCAGGTTTGAAGTCCATTGGCTGGCATCGTGACATAGAATGACAGCATATGTATGTATAATATGGCGTCTACGTATTAAAACACCCCCGTGGGCCCGCCACTGACTGGCACGTAGTTTAACCCCCAAAACCCCACCGCTGGATCCGCCACTGCCTTTGACCATATCAAAAAGATTCGCTTGATGTTCGAGTGCCCGTGGCAAAAACCGCCGATAAAAATTCAGCATAGGGAGAAAACGTAATAAATCCTTCGCAACTTTGGGACGATGAAATTTAAGCAGTGCCTCCACGCGCGCAGGCAATGGTCGAATTCCTTCTTGTGTAATAGAGTGGCCTAGAAACTGCAACTCGTTTACGCCAAATTTCGATTTTCCGGCGTTTATCGTAAGGCTGTGGTCCCTTAAGCGCTGAAATATCTGTTTCAGGTGTTCTTTATGTTCATCGATGTTCGTTGAGGCCACGCAGACATCGTCGAAATATGTGAACACAAAATTGAGGCCTCTGAAAACTTCGTTGATCATCCTTTGAAAAGTCTAGAAAATATAGACTTTAGAAAATATACACTTTCCGGCAAGAATACTGGAGAAGTCCTGCAAAAATGGAAGCGGATAACGATCTGGAACTGTTATCGCGTTTAACGCACGGTAGTCACCGCAAAGCCTCCACGAGCCATCGGCTTTTCGCACCAGGTACAAGGGGCTGGCCCAGTTGCTGCTGGATGGTCGACAGATTCCTACTTTTAAGGGGTCTCGAATTCTACGCGAGCTGCAGCAAGCTTTTCAGGGGACAGCCGTCGAGGTCTTGCATACACTGGCTGCCCGCTTGTCACAATACGGTGAACAACAAGCCATTTTCAGCGTGGCGACGAATAACTGTTACCCCGGTTTTTTTGAGAAATAAAAGGGTACTTTATGGGTTTTGCGACAAAAGTATTTTATTGTTAATTTTCCACAGATTTAACTTTAGTTGTATTAATTAATTATTAAATTTTAATCCCTATTTACATTTGCCAGCAGTTTAAACTTTGAGAGAAAAGTTCATTTGGCACGCAAGTCTTTTTCAGGTGTATTTTTTCTTAGGCTTTGTATAAAAAATACAAAAAAGAAAAAACAGTATAAGGTTGGTCGAATGAATGGCCGTCCTAGTCACCAGTTCCGAGTCTATTCGATTTATGAGTATAAGGCCTTATGTTGGACAAAAATGGAGCAAATTCGCCTATGGTTACAGAAGATATGGAATCAATTAACTGACGAAGACCTGCCTGCCAAATGAACTTTTCTCTCAAAGTTTACACTGCTGGCAAATGTAAAAAGGGATTAAAATTTAAAAACTAATTAATACAACTAAAGTAAAATCTGTGGAAAATTAACAATAAAATACTTTTTTTCGCAAAATCTATAAACGACCGTTTTATTTCTCAAAAAAAACCTGGGTAACAGTTATTCGTCGCCACGCTGTAGTATGAATACCCACTGGCGCAGGTCGCCGACGTAGGTTGAGGTTAAGTTTGATTAAAGTTTCACCATACGCCGAAATTGGGCAGCCGTTTGCGGCAAACCATTTAAGTTCCGTTGGTTTTGCTCAGTCTGAATTAGCTGATCGCGGAATAACGGACACGTCCGCCCCGGTGTCTATTAAAAAATGATTTTAGCGCACGTATCATAAATCCGCAAGCGGAACGTTTTTGCAATCTCAGAGTGTTTGTCGTTATCTGAGATTGCATCAGCCGAGCAGGCTATGGGCTTTTGTTGCATTTCGAACTGTTTTTGTAACTACACGGGTTGCGGCATTTCGTTGCACTGTCACCAAACTTCTTATGATACCAGCAGGTTTCACCGTTTGATGTACTTCTGGCATTTACTTTCGGGACTTTGAGTGAGATCGAGAGCGAGCTTTGACCTTCAAAAGTTTTTGCATATTTCGCGTAAGCTCCGTTACTTCTTGCCGATTAGCGATTTCTCCGTTGGACGAATTGTTATGCAGGTCAATAGATTCACTGATTGAATCTGCAATTTTTTAATTTTTTTGCCATTGCAACGTTTGCAGCGATTGTAGCTGCTTGGACATAGGGCGGTAGTCTGCTCAACCAAAGGTCGTGGAGGATGCTATCACTGAGCGTATTGTCGGCGACGCGTTTCATTTCCTTGTAAAGATCACTTGGCCTCCTATCACCAAGAGCCATATTTTTCAGGACATGCTGTAAGCGTCGTTGCTGGCTGTCTGTGAGATTATCAATTAGTTTTCCCCAATGTATGCGTACTTTCCATTTGGAGGTGCTGTTTCGATTATTGGCTTCAGCTCCATCAGCTTCGTTGGAGGGACGCTAGCGAGGACGATGTTAAATTTTCTTTGCACCTGAGCCTATAACCTGTTGGATGTATTACCTTTTGTAATTCGAGTTCCAAGTAAAACGCTTTGGAAAATTTTGCTTTCAGTATAGAGCGACGGTGGACAAACGCGGCTCTTTGAGCCAAATGCGGCTCTTTTCTTAGCAAAGACTGGCTCTTTTTACTTTCTCTTTGCTTAGAAGATTTTGGCTCTTTTTACTTCTTAAAATTCATATTTCCTTACTGGACATTCTTTTCCATAGTGTTGTTTTTTTTTTATTTTATTCTTATGTACACATACGCAAATTGAGGTCGGAACATTACCCGCAATTGGAGAATGAAAATTGGCTTTCTGACTTAATGCTCTTTACCGATATGATGGAACATTTGCAAAATTAGAATTTGTCTCTACAAGGAGAGAATAAAAATGTTTTTGATTTGTCGCAATTATTTTGAAGCTCTGAAACTAAACTACGTCTTTTTGTTCATGATCTCAAAAAAAGAATATTTTATAATTTTCCATGGCTAGAAAAAAATATTGCACATGATTTAAAAGCAGATTTTGAAAAAAGGTTTTCCGATTTGAAATTATTTAAATGTACGTTTGCATACTTATGTAACATAAATGAAGGATGAATATCCGAAATACTACTTTTTAAAAAAAGGGAGGAAGAAGAGTTGGAGTTTTTGGTTAGTTTCAAAACTTTAAATAAATTGCGACAAATCAAAAACATTTTTATTCTATCCTTGTAGAGACAAATTCAAATTTTGCAAATGTTCCATCATATCGGTAAAGAACATTAAGTCAGAAAGCCAATTTTTATTCTCCAATTGTGGGTAATGTTCCGATCTCAATTTGCGTATGTGTACATAAAAATAATAACATAAAAAAAAACACTATGGAAAAGAATGTCCAGTAAAGAAATACGTACTTTAAAAAGTAAAACGAGCCAAAATGTTCTAAGCAAAGAGAAAGTAAAAAGAGCCATACTTTGCTAAGAAAAGAGCCGCATTTGGCTCAAAGAGCGTTTGCCCACCGTCGATTTAGAATATACATGTGGCTCTTTTCGGCCTTGGCCTTGCCCACCCCTGGTATAGAGGTATAAAATAGATGTTTATTAATTCACAGTCAAAAAGCAAGCAAGTTAAAAAGTGCAGTCTAGAAAGACTGCAACCCTGTATGCGTGAATATTTGAGTTGACGGCAGACTTGCATTTCAACAAATGTGCAAATTTCAGATTTCTAAAAATTCGCGTTGATTTTAGTTATGTATTTAATTATGCCATTTAGTAGTGGATCGCATGGTGCTGGGGAAAAAAGCCTCGCAGTGGTAAATGTGTTGTGCCAGCAGCGCAAGGGACTTAACATAGTACACTTCAATGCTAGGAGTTTGAATAGCGAAAAAATGGACTATGTCAGGTTTGTGTTTGAATCTTCTGCTGTTGACGTAATTTGTGTGACCGAGACCTGGTTTTCACACGACTTGGATGACTTTCATTTTAACATTAATAACTACAGAACGTATAAAAAAGGTGGTGGAGTGGCAATTTTCTGGAAAAAAAAGGATTAATATGAAACCACTTCTAATGTTTGAAGGTCCAGGGGCTGAGTATTTATTTGTTAAGCTGTATGATAGTTCCACCAAAATCTCAGTGGCATGTGTTTACAATCCCCATAGATCAATAACCCTTGATTCACTGTTTTTGCCTTTGTCTTCGTACGTCGTAGATTATGATTACTTAGTTGTTTGTGGAGATTTAAATGTAAACCTTCTTGTTCGTGAGCCGTGCAGTGATAGACTACTAGATAATGTTGTTAGTGCTGGTCTCTCTGTCGTTAATATGCATGTACCTACAAGATACGCTAAGAAGTGTTGTCCTAGTTTACTTGATTATTTTATTATTTCCGATCCCACAATTGTAATCAACTTTGATCAGATAACGTTTTTGTCAGACCATGACCTTATCTTTTGTACGTTGGGCCTTAAATTTGACCGCTGCAGTACAAGTAATATTTACACGTTTAGAGATTACCGGTCACTTGACAATAATGCTATATTTTCAGAACAGTCCTGTGTTATTTGGTGTGAATGCTGGTGTCTGTCAACAGTCAATGAAAAGCTAGATCAACAATAAAGTTTTTGAGGCCTACAACAAACATATTCCAGTTCGCACCCGCAAAGTTAGTTCAACATCATATCCGTGGTACAGCCGTAAGGTTTTAGCTGCAATTAAAGCACGCAATAAAATCTACCGTGCATGGAAAAAGAAAAGGGGTGATACAGACTGGGAGTCTTATAAAGCTGTAAGGAACTTGGCTACTAAGATTATTAAAATTGAGAAATGCAAGTTCTTTTCGTCACGACTTGATCCAGCACTTCCAAATAATACTTTGTGGAGAAACCTAATGTTACGTAGCACCTCACAATAACTACGCTTACCTATTGTGCTCCGCCTGCAATCTTCGGATACGAATGTTGTGTAGCATTGGTGTCCACTTTGTGAGTAATTCCTCAAAACGTTAGGAATTTCGGGTGCGCTTGAGTATTTTTTGAGGATTTTTATTTTGAGGAATTTTCTCTCGATATATTTGCAGATAACAAATGCAATCATGTTTTACACAAGACAGTTGTTTAATCCCTATGTAACGTTTTGAACAAAAAGCTTTCCGAAGCTTTATAAAGAGCGAAATACACTACACAAGCGGCTTGTCAAACATTCTTCAAACCTACTTTTCCCATTTCGCCATACACCATGCAAACATGACTCGTCCAAGCAAAGAATTTTAGTTTTATTCCGGTTCACAATGTAAAAGGATTTGGTTTTCTTCGATTTTTCTCTCTTGCGTCCTCATTCGGAAAAATTCCGTTGCGAATGAAGTGATTTTATCATACACAACGTAAGCGGTTTGATCAAACGTCAACATGGCGGCCAGAAAATCAAAAAATTTTGATTTTTGTTCACATTTCCCTCCAACGGCCTGTCAAACCTTCAAACACAACATAATAGCTTTAAGGAAAGGGATATTTCTCTTGGTTTGTCAAGCCGCTTGTGTAGTGTTTTTCGCTCTTAAGCACATCTGCCTTTGCTGCTAAATATTCAAAATTCCATCGTTATATTTTCAACTTATGTATTTTGAACTTGCAAAATCTCGGTAACGAATGGAGAGAACACGCATTGTTCGATCATAAGGATATTCATATTGATTCTTCATTAGATCATAAAATTATAGGAAAAAAGTTTTTGAAGTAAAAGATTCTTCAGGTTCATATAAGTTCCCCAATTAAAAAAAATTATATCTGCCTTGCTAATATAGCCCTTTTCTAATGCTTCAGTGGAACGTATATTTAGTAGTTTAAAAATGTGTAGGACTGACTTGAGGACCAGATTGAGCACTGATACAGTTTCAGTAGTTTTACATATATACAAAGAAAGGCATACAAAATAACGATGGTACTTTGTTTGAACCTCAAGAACAAATTTATCAATTGAATTGGAGAATGTAATTAATTTTTACACTAAGTACCTATAAATAGTATGCAGTACACAATACTCATATCTGTAGTAAGAATATTTTGAGTAATTTGTTCGGATTTTGTGGATTTTTCATTTTATTTTTTTTTTGAGGAGTTTGGTAATTTTTTTGTGGCAACACTGTTGTGTAGCACCGCACGCACAATAACTATGCTTAACCGGGAGCGCTGGTGCTCCGGCCGTTCCTTAAGGTGGTCAATCCAACAGACGTGGTAGAATGGGGCTGTGCCGACGTCTAGCACAAATAAGGCATACTTTTTTTGTAAATTTTTACTGCTGCTGTCTTAAATCACCGAACACTGCCTTTGCTGCTTTTAACCCACACGCGTGACTACTTTACGCTTTAAAAAAAGCTTTTCTTTTTTTTCCAAATATTTAATTTATTTTCTTAACTTCGGATGACCGTTTCAATTAAAGGTCGAGTAAGTAATGAATTTTTATATTTAACTAAACTGACTCTTCGGCTCAAGCGAAAATTAACTGTTTTTGATATGCCACATTATGAGAGTGCTGAATAGCGTTGCCATATCAATAGGGTTGTCCTTTCATCACCCTCCTTGCGAAAGATTATTGTAAGGTGATCAGGCTTACAATAATCTATTGCTCCAAGAGGCGATGGCAAATTGGTGTGGAGGAATGAGATGCATAATCAAAAGATTATTTCGTTCCGCTCTTAACTCATTCGACATATCAATTTGTAGATATGTACAAAATTCACAAAAAAAAAATTTCAGTTGAACTAATAAAGCCATTATTTTGTCTTAATTAATTAGTTAATAATTAATGTTAATTAACTAATTCTAGTAATTTAATCTACCGATTTAGCTTTATAAAATATAGTAAAGATTTTTTTGAATGTAATCGTAACAATTTCCTTATTTACTACTTTCAATGATGTACGTAATTATTTTATAGGAGCTAAAAACGAAAAATGACACTGAAGATGGCACAACGCCGAAACCGGTTTGTCTCCAAACCAAATTTGACAAGGGATGACGGAAAATCGTTCCACATTACATCGCTAAAATTTATGTTTGTTTATTTTATATATTTTGCAAAAAATTTCCTTTACAAAGTGAAAGATATGTATACTACCCAAAAATTAATTTTGATTTGATTTCAGATGAATAAATATAAGTAATGTAGCAATTTGTGTTAATTTTTTTTTTTTTGTTGTTTTTACAGTAATTAATGTTTAGGCTATTGGTAAGTTTAATTCATTGGTGTAGCTTAATATTTAAACATTATAGCTAAGTACATTATATTTGTATACGCGTATATGACGTGGAAAATTCATATTTAATTAAATTGAGCAATTTCGTAGAAAAAGCATATTGCATGTTTAAAAATTCATAAAAATATGTTAGTGACCTTTTGAATTCGGTTTTTGTGAACCGTTTTTAATTTATGTTTGGTTTTATTGAAAACCGTAATATTTACACCGTCTACTTTTTGTACAACGTGCGGCACCTGATATTTGCATTCGTGTTTGACTCTGGGCTCTTTTTGTATTAGAACTAGACTAGATCGTGTTCTTTAATTTGTACTGGACGAGAGTGTCTATCGCATCAATTTTTGCTACGGGCTTTATGTTTATTAATTAATTCTTTGGCTATTGCATGTGATTTTTGCATACGGTATTTCACCTCTTTCGCATAGTTTTCAACGTTGTATATCGGGAGTATCTTTTATTTTCGCAATTCGTGCGGTAAAGTTTCTTTTTTGCTGAAAACTAGTTCGAAAGGAGTGAATTTGTTATCAAAAACGGTATTAGGCGTTGTATTATGTAGAAAGGTGAAATATTTCAAATAAGTGTCCCAGTTAGAAAATGTTTCGCTCAAATATTCGTTTAAACTCTATGGTTCCGTTCAATCGTTCCCACTGTTTCGTGATGGTGTGCTGTTGAAAAGTTGTGTTTTATATTTAAAAGTTTTGTAAGTAAGTGTATTAATATGTAACCTTCAAAAATAGCTGAAGCCACAGTTTTGGCACTTTTGTCTGGTATCGCGATAGTTACTAAATATTTTGCGAGATCGCAGATTATGGTGACAGCGAACTTGTTACCACATCGCGTATCTGGCAAAAGGCCTATTGTGTCAATAATTACTTCCTCAAAAGGTTTACTAGGTGTTGGTGTTAAAACAAGATTTTCTCTGTTTTTGGGTTTAACTTTGTTCAGTAAACATTTCTCACAACTTTTTACGAATTTTGATATATCACGGGTCATGTTTTTCCAAAAATATTTTGTACGGATTTTTGCATATAACCTATTGAGATGGCAATGTCCTTCACTTCGTTGAGTCGTTATGGTAGATTGTCATAAGTTAATGTTTCTTTTCATCGTCAGTCGCTGTTTCGACAGGATCTGTTAATATAATATGTAATGTCTTTAAAATATTATTTCCTCGATTTTGAAATGATGGAAAAATTCATCGTCTTTTGGCCATTCAATCCAAGTTTGAAATTGGTAATATTAACCAATTTTTGGTTGATTTTTCTCACAGTGTATATCAGTATAGATGGTAAATTAAAAATATTTTTTAATTAAATGTTTCCCATGGGAAAATGTTTATGAATAGTTTTTTTTAAATAATTGCAGGCATTTGAAATTAATTTCAAGTCTTGAAAAGTTTTTTTCTTTCAATTATCTTTTATTTAAAAAAGGGGAAACTTGCATTCGGTTCATATTTGGGCTCTCAAAATTGATTTGTCCACAACAACCTTTTGCCCCACTGTGCGCCGCAGTCTCAAAAAAAGTTGGTTATCGTAATTCGATGGTTGTATTAATTTAGAATCACGCCGCTGTCTCAAAAAAATTGGATATATTAATTTGATGCTGCTCGGTTTTTCCCCCCCGCTGCAGTCTCGTAAAAGTTTTATTTAAAAATTATTTAAGTAGCGTTTTTGGTGTGCCGCTATACTACGGCCTCCCGCGCTGCTGTCTCCTAATACTCGAAATATAGCGTGAGTATGCCGCTATGCGAGTGGTCGCGTGGGGTACTGCACTAGTTTTATTGTGTACCTCTGTTCAGCTGGTGTTCTGCCTAAACGCGACCGCAGCATGCCCATTTACAGTAAAAATATTGTGACTGTTATAACGTTTATACGCACGCATTATTTGCAAATAACAATTTGCAAAATGGTAAACTTTGCCGTTTTAACGCTGAGTTAATTTTTTATTTGCAAATACCTAAATCACGCAAATAAGTATTGATTAGTGGTACTATTTGCAAATAAGCGCAAGACGCTGCCATTCTTAGGTTAATTTTCTTTTTCGATGGTCATCTTATTGCCTTTTTATAATTAACGACGTTGCCATTTTTAACTTTATTTTCCTTTTCGATGGCCATATTATTGCCTTTTTATAATCAGGCAATATTAAAAAAGAATTTTTCACCATCGAATAAACAGTGAGTTAGGTATTTACAAAAAAATTTTCAAAAATCAACGCGATTTCTTAGAGGTTCGAAATTTGCACATTATTATACTAAAATTTAATGGGCTACAAAAGTGCATAGCTGAGTTCTTTTTAGAAATTCGTATTAAAAAGTTCGCGATTTTGCTGAAGATTTGCATATTTTTCTTAAGTTAAAAGAGACATACGCTCACTTTTGGGAGTAACTGTACATATATATAGAAATCAGCTGCATTTTATTTTAGAGTTAAAAAAATAAATTGAAAAATAAATAAAATAAATATACATAAGTATAAGAAAGTCCCCTTAAATACCTATCCACTAAACCTAAGATCATAAAAATAGACATTCGGGCAGGTTCTGCACACTTCCGAGTGATTTCAACCCCTACCAATTTGAATTCCAAGCGAGTTTGATTGAAATTCACTTGAAAGTGAATTGCAGAACCTGCCTGATTATTACAGATTTTATAAGCATTTTTTATATATTACATATAACATATAACCTCAAAACTTCAAAGTCCGATAAAAAATCAATTCGACGTGACCCAAGAAAAATGAAGACATCCTCAAAATCAGGAAACCAAAACACATAAGATACACTTTTCAAACCTCTTGGATTTATTTTGCTGTTGTGCCGTGTTATTTACTACATGTTGTCTGACAGTTATGTCTTGAGATATTCTTTCATAAAACTCTTAATTTCCACTTAAGGTTGCATTATTATTTTTATAATCATATCTAATGCTAATGCTACTTTGTAACACCAAAAAGTCTTGTCCCACTGACCGCTGGTAACTTCCTGAAAGGTATACGTATTTTCTTGAAAATAATTGGTAAAATAAAAGTATTAACGGTTGTTCTCTTTTAATGTTGAAATGAAATATGGCCTTTGTTAATTCAAATTGTAGGCATTTAGAGTTTATAAATAGTTTTGGATAAAAAGATATAAAAGTAAAAAAAATATCGTTGCGTTACACCGTGGCACTTCCACATCACCTCCCCTACTCGCCCCTCAACTCCAACTCCCTCTCTCGTGCTGCCAGATCGCTTACAGCTCGGCCTTTCCTGACATTCGTCCTCTCGGACGAGTCGTCCTCGGAGTTGGATTCATCGGTCTCGTCGCTGTAATCCAACTCGGGCGCAGATGAACACCATGGCTTCATGTGGTCACTGGAAAACACGTTAACATACCGTCGCCTGGTATGTTGTGCATCCGGTAAATCCTCTATGATGTATCGGTCGTAATCTAGTACTTTGGTGACAAGGTATGGGCCTTTATACTTCTAATTTGTGCCTTTCGCCGGTAGCCCCTGGAACATGGTCGACGACTACCAACTGTCCTTCATGGTATTGATATGGTGGCAGATGTCGCTGATCATATCGCTGTTTCCACTTAAGACGTTCAGCTTCAATGTTCGCTTTCGCTGTTTCTTTTTTGGAACTCTGTTCTTGCTCCTCCAATGGTAATGGATCGTCGTGTACCACCTGAATTAAACGATTTTCGGTTACGTTACGTAGATTGAAGTTAAACACGAGTTCATTCGGACAGACGTTTGTAGTAGAGTTGCGCTGTGAGTTTATCGACCACTGGATCGTTGGCAGTGTCGAGTCCCACTCGTTTGAACTTTTCGTAGAACTTCTCATTGACGCAAGGATGGTTCGGTTTACACGCTCGGCTTGGCCATTTGCTCTTGGCGTACGAACGGCATTCTTCACTTGTTGTATGCCATACGCAGATATAAATGCTTCAAATTCTTTTGAGGTGTATGCGGTTCCTCGATCAGTCCTGATCTTTACCGGTTGTCCAAAGATAGAAATTACTTTCCGCAGCAAGTTGAGTACACAAGACGTTTTAGTACTCCTTACTGGTTCCAACAAGGTATATTTTGTGAAAGCGCATACAAGTACTATGACGTGCTGGTTGCCTCGTTTGCTTCTAGGAAACGGACCTAGATGATCCATATGAACCGATCTGAACGGAATTGGAAGCACTTCCATTACGTGCATCTGGCTTTCTTTTTTTCCACCTTTCAGTTTATTGAAGCAGCATTCCGGACATGACGCGATATACGACTTGACATAACGTCTCATCCGTTTAAACCAAAAATCTTTACTGATGCGATTCAGAGTTTTTTCAACTCCAAAATGCCCGGCATCATCGTGGCACGATTTTGTTATTCGCTACCTTATAGCACGTGGTACGACTAACTTTCGTTCGCTACCCAATTTCCGGAAAAGTCGACTTGCAAGCATTTCATAGTCATCCTTCATCTTTTCGGCGTTTGGTGAACTTGTGTTCTGAAGCGTTTGTACAATTTCTTTAAGCTCCGGATCTTCCAATTGGACGGCATAGACCCAGTCGTTATTCTGATGATGGTTTACCAATAAAACCCGGTCTGCTACTGAGGGTGGCTCAACTGGTGGTAAAGATGTTGACCGACTCAAACCGTCCACGTGTTGCATCTTCGCACCCCGTCGATAACACTCAAAGTTATATTCCCGCAGCCTTAACAACCATCTAGCTATTCGTGGTGGAAGCGGGGTTGTAGCTTTGGTAGTTGCCACTGCGTTGCAGTCCGTGATAACGTGGAATTGCGTCCCCAACAAATACATCCGGAACCTGTCCACCGCCTCGACGATAGCTAGTACTTCCAACTCATGACTAGCGTATCGCTTCTCTGCATCGTTGCATTGTCGACTATAAAACGATACCGGCTTCCACCCCTCAGCACTCTCTTGCAGCAACATGCCGGCTAAACCATGGCTACTTGCATCTGTGTGAACTTCGTGACGTTTCTCACATCATAAATCACTAATACCGGCTTGCTGGATATCGCTGACTTCAATTGCTGGAAAGCATCCTCTTGCTGATGCTGCCACCCAAAAGGGGTGTTCTTTTTAAGGAACTTAGTTATCGGTTCTGCAATGTGGCTGTAGCGTTCAACAAACTTCCGGAAAAATCCGGTGAGTCCCAAAAATTGCCTGACATCCGTAGCTGTTTTCGGTCGTGGAAACTTGTTAATCGTTTCGGTCTTCTCCTTACCAGGATGTATGCCATTTTCGTTGACATGTCCAGAAATTTGACTTCCGTGTCCAAGAACGCACACTTAGAGGGTCGTAACGTGAATCCCGTACGCCTAATTACTTCTGAAAACTCTTCCAACACCTGCGTGCCCTCAGCTACCGTTGGTGTTGCAATGATTACCTCGTCCACATAACTAATTATTCGTTTTCGGTATTTGAGGCCTGCGATTAGTTGAAGTACCATCTCTTGGAAATACATTGGCGCGTTAACCAACCCAAACGGCATTACATTATGTTCGAAGAGCCCGTCATGCGTAAGAAATGCTGTATATTTCCTGCTATTCTCCTCGAATGGTATTTGATAATATCCGGCAGTCATGTCTAGAGTTGTAAAATATCGCCCACCGGCGAGCTTCGCCAACTGCTCCTCGACAATAGGCATAGGAAATTGCTTCTTTACCGTCACTGCGTTCAAAGCCCTATAGTCGACGCACATACGACTTTCTCCGTTGCTTTTGCTTACTAAAATCACCGACGCTGCATGCGGCGACGTACTTCTCCGAATTATATTATTATCTAAAAGTTTCTTTAAAATCGTAGTTAGTTCCTCTTGTCGTGCTAATGGAACTTGATATCGCTTGCCCACAACTGGCTTCCCCGACGTTACTTCGATTTTCATTGCCGTAGTGTTACATTTACCAAGCGCAGTTACATCTTCGGCGAAACAGTTCGAGAATTTGTCCAACAAATTATAAATTTCGTTACGGTCTGTTTCTTCAAGGCTCTCGTTAACATTAAACTTATCCTGCCTCTTTACTTGCAGCTGTAGAACACCCGCATCTATGATCACTCGTTTGTTCTTGCTGCAGAGAACGTCTCTGCCCAGCAATATATCGTAACTTAAAACATCGTCTGGTACTACATGTAGTTGAGCGTTTACCAGTTCGTTGCTCAACTGTAATTCGACTTCAATTTTCTCAGTTCACTTCACCAATGAACCGCCAAATCCCTCAAACCGTTTAAACGTAGGAATACGTTTGCCTGCTATACCTGCCGCCGTTGTCTGTTTAATCAGAGAATGATCGCTTCCGGTGTCAACTAAAGCTTTGACCCCTTCGCCACCCAAACAAACGTGTTCTACAATCGGAGGAGCCACTTTGTCATCGTTGCTGTTCGTTTTAACTTCCGCTACCGTAGATTTTACAGACGCTCTACAGTCTTTCGACTCGTGACCCGGCTTACAATATTTATCACATCGTGGTTTCTTAGATGGATGTGGACATTTTATAGCGATATGCCCAAACTCGTTGCAGTTAAAACATTTCGGTCCACGCTGACCTACTTGCTGACGTTCGCCCACATTAAGCGTATCTGCAGGCTTTGCTGTAGATTGTCGTTGCACATTCGTCTGCTGAACTGTTGATACATTTTGTAATGACCGCAAGAGATCGGTTGTCGTGCGGAAATTCATCGCTAACAAAGTACGTGTTAACTGTGTATCATTAAGACCATTGATGAGGTAAAAATTTATAGACCCATCATCCAAGGACCCTCGTCTGGCAATTGCGAGAATAGCATAGTAGTACTCCATCAGAGACTCTCCACATTTGCGTTTACGTTGCGCCAAGTCTCTATGAATATCAGCAGCATTAACCGTATACGGAAAATCGTTAATCCGCATACTCACGAAATTAGCCCATGATTGGAACACGGGCTGCGCTATGCCCCTCATTTTGTGCTGCACCGCGAACAAGATCGTTTCTTCACTCCATCCGTACATACGTTGCAGTTGTTCTACTTTCGAAACAAATTGCTCGGACGATAGAGATTTCTTTAACGGCTCGAACTCTGGCAAATACCAATTACGTCGCGCATGTTTGGGTGTGCTTGTGCTGGCATTAATATTGTTGCTGACTGTAAAAATTCCCTCACGTTGTGTGCCTAATTACCGTCGACCTCAGTTATTGGCAGTTGCACACTTGATTTAATCTCGCTTACTGACCGTGCCAAACCCGATACCACCTCCTTCAATTCGCTGATAGATTTTAACCACGGCTCCATTTCGTCGACTTCATCCATGTCAATTTCGTCACCTCCTAAAGCTTCAATTAGCGTGGCAAGTTATCTCTTCGCAAGAGCGTATTCAGTTGCGTGACATTAAGACTTTCCAATTTCACTCTCATTTCGCCAGAAGTGCTTGAAATTTGTTTCTTATTAAAAAAAATATTACTATTTCTTCACACGCCTATCTATCTGTTCGTAGCGTTGATCTTTTTTTCCCCTAATTTGCGTTGCGTTTTCACAGATGTCGTTTTTCGCCTTTCGTTGCTTACACGCGTTCCTGTGTATCTCGTTTCAACTTCTTTTCTCTGCCTCTGCTCGTTGCTGATTTGACCGTCGTGTCGTCGTTGCTGCGTAGCAGAGCCGTTGCT